TTTGGGCCCTGCGCAGCGCCAACGTGTTCCTATCGGGCTCCTCCACAGCCAGCGGCTCTCCCAAAGGGGATTAAAGCGTAATCCGCTCGCTCTATAGCTGGAGTGGATTAATGCCGGCTTCTCCCAGTGGCTGCTTGGCTCCCTGAAGGCTGCAACAAAAAGGCTCAGCGCTCCTTTAACGTGCTGTGGCGTTGCGAGGTGTAATTGGAGATTTCCAAAGGACAAGTGTAAAAACGACACGCTGTTAGCGCAGCATAATTTCTCATTTTGTACTTTCGGAAATAGAAAAAAAAAAACGAGATTTTTTATTATTATTATTTTTCAAATTAATTTGTACCCTAAATCCCCCCAAATCATCCCAGAAATTGGCCAGTGTTTAGAAAACGCTTTCTGCTTCTCCTCGCGGAAAGAAAAAGAAAAAAAAAAAAAGGAAAAAAATGATAAAAAGAGAGGGAAAAAAAAGGAGAGAATTAAGAACAACCAGCGAGCATTTTCCTGGCTGGGGAGCGGAGCAGTGTTCGCCCCTCGCTGCGTTTTGATGCCCTTGGCGCGTTCACGTTGCTCCCAATCTAGGGCGTCGTGGGCCTGAGACCTGGGGCAGGCACCAGGGTCCCAGGCCCCGTTTCGAGAGGGGATAGAGGGGGGCGGGAACCCCGATTTACCCTGAACTGAGTGGCGGGAGGGGCAGAGGGTCCCCCCCCTTCCGCCCCCGCCTCGGGCCGGGGTCTCGCCGGGGCTGCGCGCCCCCGTTGCGCCCTCCAGGCCCGGCCTTGGGGCCGCTCGACCGCGTCGCTTTATTTGTATTTTAGCCACACAGCCGCGCGGGGAAGAGGTAATTGGATTAAATGGATGGCCGTCCTTCTGGGATTCAGAAAAGCCCACAAACGCCTCCTTAAAATGATAGAAGAGCGGCTGGCTGCCCGCGCGCGGCTCCCGAGGGCGGAATGTGCGCGCACGGGAGCTGCGGGGCGCAAGTGCCGCGCGGGGCAGGAGCGGCCGCCGCGCATCCCCCCCGCTCCTCCTGCAGGCACAAAGAGGGGGCGCCGGGGGACTGGAAACCCAAATCCACTTGTAATCGCCCGGGGGGACCGGGCGCAATTCCTGGGGCGCCCCCCGTGACGCTGGATGGGGCTGCGCGGGGCGCCGCGCACCGATCCGCCCGCGCGCAGCGGGACGCGGCGAGCAAGGAGGCAGGCGGGCAGCGCGGCATGTGATGCGCATCAGCTGACCCGGGTCAAGAGGCTACCCGGGTTTATTGGGAGACGGAAAACAATAAAATGAGGGAAAATAGAGCTCGTGTCCGTGTTAGCCGCCCGCCGCGGCGGCTGCTGAGAGCTGCCGCTCAGCCTGGGCGCTTCGGCTTCCCCTTCTACGCGCACAAACCCGCGCCTCCCTTTTCATTTGGTTTGCAGCGCAAATGACAAAATGCGGCGCAATACAGGCTCAAAGCGGGTGTTACAACTAAGGGAAACGTTAGCGACGTGACAGTTAGGGGCCTCGAATCGGGGCTAATTGGGGCTAATTGGAAGTGCTGCGAGCGGCGGCCGGGCCGGGCCGGGCCGCTCCGGAGCCCCGCGCGTTGGGGCCGCCCGGCCCGGCCCGCGTTGCCCCGCAGGAGACGGGAGCCCCGCGACGCCGCCGACCCGTGCGGAGCATCCGCTGGCACGAGCGCTTTGCCCGGTGCCCAAGGGAGCCTCGATGCTGTCCTGGGTTCCTCGGCTTTTATTATCTGCGTGTCAGATGGGCGGCCGTGTCCACGGGGACACGCGTGGGTGCGAATTAACCTGCAGGGCGCAGCGGCCGCATCTGAGCGCGCTTCGTTTCTAACTGCCCCTTAACCAGAGCTTCGTGACACGCAGCTCGCAGCCCGGCGTGGTTCGTTTTCCTACCAAAGATAAGAAGGCGCAAAAGTCCTTCTGCGAGGTGTCCTTTGTATTGAAGCAGGAGTTGCTCCACATTAAAACCTAAAAAATTCTACGGAAAAAAAAAAATCCTTTTATAATAGATTTTCCCCTGTCCATCTTCTCTGTGCCCCTGCAAGTGCCATGGTGCTTAATGTGTTTTGTTACACTAATTCTAAAAGGATTAAGTGACAGCAAGTCGAATTTAAAAATATATTGTCATAAATGCACTTAACGGCGGTAGCCTTTGTGTGCGTGTGGCATTCAAAGAAAGTAAAAAAAAAAAAAACCATCTTTGGCGCAGCTTTGGGAAGCGGGAAAGCGGCGGGCAGGTTGGGGCAGGGAGGTGCGGGCGACAGCCGCTAACGGGGGCTGAGGGAAGGGGCGCCGGGAACCCCTCCTGCGAGGCAGCCGATTTTCGCCCGTAGCTCCTCGAATTCCCTGGATTCCTCGCAGCTCCCGAACTCCTTTCCCGTCCCGGCTGCGGAGCTGCAGGCGGCCGGCGCCCTGCGCGGCCTCGGCGGGCTCCGGGCGCTGCCGGGCCCGGACCGGGCCGGGCGCCGGTACCGAGCGGGCGCTTCACCTGACGCCGCTGCGCTTGTCTTGCAGGCCCCGTGGTGCTGAGCACGCCCGCGCAGCTCATCGCGCCCGTCGTGGTGGCCAAGGGCACGCTCTCCATCACCACCACCGAGATCTACTTCGAGGTGGACGAGGATGACGGCGCCTTCAAGAAGATCGACCCCAAGGTGAGTGTCGCGGCCGGACCGGGCTGGACCGAGGGGCTGCGGCCGTCGGCGCTGCCCGCAGCCGGGCCCGACCCTGCCCCGCGACGCGCGCTCCCCTCGCCGCGTTTGATGCCGGAGCGCAACGTATTAATGATGGAAAATCCCCCGTTACGGCCGGGTGCGCGTTTTGCAGCAGTTCCGCTCGCTGCCTTTGTAGGAACGCGGGCAGATTTAGCAGTTAAGCCAATTGCTCTGAAATCCCTGGAGGTAACAGCGCTCCCAGGCCGCGGCCTTCCTAAGATGCCGCGCAGCGGTTTTACCCTTTTAGTGGATATCGGAGGATCCTGTTATTTCAAGAAAGTTAGTTTCCCCGTAAGAAAATACCTCTCATTTTACGCAACTTCCCGGTTGCTGAAGTCCGAGCTTATTTTCTAGAGAGAGGGAAAAAAATAATAAAAAGAAAAGCAATCTCGTGGGCATGACTGGATTCCTGGGAAAGCTCTGTTTTCTTTTCCCTGAAGTCATTTACTGCTGCCCGATCCGCTCTGCCCAAAGCGGAGGCCGAGGCCAGCGGGGCTGCAGAGCGGAGCGCGCCCCGAGCCGCTGCGCGCGCCCCGAGCCGCTGCGCGCGCCCCGAGCCGCTGCGCGCGCCCGTCCGCGCCGCCGCGGGGCGGGAGCCGGGCCCGTGCGGGGCGCTCCCCTCTGCCGCCCTCTCCCCTATTCCCACCGTTGCGCCTGCTTTCCTGTTTTGTTATTGTGCTGCGAGAATGGTAAAAACCTCGCTTTGAGTGGAAAAAAAAAAAGCACTGAGTCTGCTCGAAAGACGGCGGGATTTCTTAAGAACTATCACAAATAATTTCCAAGAAAAAAAAATGCTGGGAAACTCGTCTGCATATAAGTATGTTTGCAATGAGGAGATTTCTGGGATGAGGAATAATATCTTAAAGTTGAATTTTTGAATTGTTTTTCGCCGTGCTGGAAAAGCAGGTTCCTTCGCAGCCGGGTGAGGGTTCTGCTGCGCCCACCCCGCTGTGCAGAGCGCGGCTCTTCGCGGCGAGCCCCGCTGCGCCCCGGCCCCGCTCGGC